TATTATTATTATTATTATTATTATTATTATTATTATTATTATTATTAACAATAATAACAATAACAACAACAACAGACAGTAAGTGTTGCCTATGCAAAGAAGCTGAAGAAACTGGACCACCTGGTAAGCTGCTACAAGAATATTGCACAAACTGACTACAAGCACCGGTATGACAAAGTAGCAACAGTGATACATTGGAAGATCAGTAGGAAATATCATTTGCCTGTAAGCAAGAACTGGTGGGACCATAAAATAGAAAAAGTCATAGAAAATGAAAAAAAGTGAAATTGCTCTGGGACTTTAGAATCCAGACAGACAGGAACCTGCCACATAATAACCTGGACTTAACGTTGTCGATAAGAAAGACAAAAAAGTCTGGATGGTGGATGTGGAACTAGCTGGAGACAGCAGAAGAAAAAAGAAAGAACAGGAGAAGATAACAAAATATAAAGACCTAAAAGTAGAAATAGAACGACTATGACAAAGGCAAGCAAGGGTAGCACCAATAGTAAGAGGCACCTTGCGTGCAGTCCCAAAGTAACTGGAGCACTACTTGAACACCCTAGGCATTGACAAATTTGCCATCAGTCAATTGCAGAAGGCAGCTTTACTTGAAAAAAGATTCCATCCTATGGCGATATCTGTAACACCATCAAACATCCAGATTTGCCTATCCCAGGTCCTTAGTAAGGACTCAATAGGTCAAGGGTCTTCAAACTTGGCAAGTTTAAGACTTGTGGACTTCAACTCCCAGAATTCCTGAGCTAACATGACTGGAGGAGAAATTCTGGGAGTTGAAATCCACCACAAGTCTTAAATCTGTCAAGTTTGAAGACCCCTGCAAATAGGTAGACAAAATTGTCAAACCCAGTCTGAACATATGGCTGACTGTGCAATTAATAACAATAACAACAATGAATTAGGAATATCCTATGGTTATATGAGTACCGTGATCATGTGTTAGTAAGAGAAGCACACAGAAAAAGGGGTGTTTAAAATTTGTCAAGAATTATTTGTCAATAAATACCTTTCATGTCTGTGGTACACCGACATATTTTTTTCCCAGCGTATCAATTGCAAAGTTGTCCCGATCCACGTCCCTTCCGAAATGGATTTGTTATTGGAACTGACTTTACTGTAGGACAGACTGTTTCATTTGAGTGTTTTCTTGGATACACTTTAATTGGAAATTCAGCCCTTACTTGCCTTCATGGAATCAGTCGTAACTGGAACCATCCTCTTCCAAGGTGTGAAGGTATGTTTTCGATAGATAAATAGATTGATAGATGATAGATAGATAGACAGACAGACAGACAGACAGACAGACACTTTTTAGTTCTTATGTTTGGTTTTGATTTTTTACAGCACTGTCTATTAAAAGCTGAAATATTGTAATTTAAATTCAATGTTTGAAAAGATAGGTATAGACAACAGATTGAAAGCAGGATAGGGATCTACACAGTAGTTAGACTGTTGAGCAACAGAAGATATCCAAGGAAATATTCCTGCTGCAAATAAACCGTAGCAATTTTAGTCAGACTGACTAAAATTGACTGACTGGCATTGGAAGTAGCTTTATGAATTCTAACTTTATTATATTGCATGTAGGAGGGGGTAAGAAGATCTAACCCCCATCCTATCTGTCTCTTAGATCTGGTTTCAAGTTGGTTTTAAAATCTTAACATGTGTAGTTTTAATGTTTTAATATTTTGATTATTTTTCTACTTGTAGAACTTATAACTTATAAGCTGCCCAGAGTCACATGATAAGGCAGATGGACAGCATAAAAAATAATTAATTAATTAAATTGATGCTATTATTAGTCATTTTGCAAAGAGTTTTTTTCTTTCCACTTTTTGATTTAATAACATATATTGGTTGATAGAATATTACAAATGTGAAAATGGTTTAATAATGAGAATGTACGTTTGAATTATATATAAGATATATAACTATAAGAACATGGATTTATTGAGCATAGGGTGCGGCTTAAAAAATTACTCTTCAAAGTGGTTCTAGAACTGTAGCCTTCGATTGATGATACTTATTATCTTTCCCTTGGTGAACAATTTCTGATGTTCTTCCTGCTGAAAATTTTTCAGTGTAGTGAACTTTTAAATATTATTTTATGAAGTTATGAAGTTAATTGTAGCTTTAAAAAAACAGGGTTTCTAAAAATCCATAATATGTGTTTCAGTTTTGATTTGCTTTCTGGCAGGGCTATCTATATTTGGAATCATTTGTGATTTAATTTTGCTCTTTTTATACTAAAGCTATAAAATATATATTTTCCCATTATATTTTTTTTAGAAAATTCATAAATATTATGAAATTGCTACACTTAACTTCCTTCCTTCCTTCCTTCCTTCCTTCCTTCCTTCCTTCCTTCCTTCCTTCCTTCCTTCCTTCCTTCCTTCCTTCCTTCCTTTCTCATAGCTCTTTGCGGAGGAAATATAACTGCTATGAATGGTACAATATATTCACCTGGCTACCCTGATGAATATCCAAATTTTCAAGACTGTTTTTGGCTTGTAAGAGTACCACCAGGAAATGGCATTTATATCAATTTTACTGTTCTTCAAACAGAACCAATATATGATTTTATAACAGTTTGGTAAGCAAAAATTACCATAATATTTTTATTATGCAATAACTCATGCATAGCAACATGTAAAATTACTAAATGCAAATTACTGTTTTGATTGTTTTTAACAGCTCAGATGTTTGATGATTTTAATATTGGTTTACTATGCTAAGTATTCCATAGAATGTAGTCTCAACTAGTCCAGGCGTTGCCAACCTTTTGGACCTCAGGGACCACCAAACTCATAATTTTAAATCCTGCAGACCAGAGACCCTGGGAAAATCCCCCCAAAAGTCTGCAGGAAAATTCCCACCCATTTTCCTACCAATCGATCATTCTTTATTTGGTATTGCAGGATAACGTCTCCAGCTCCATTCTCAGAGGGAGAGAGAGAGAGAGAGACTTTTGGCTTCATACAAGGAAAGCAGCAGAAGCAGCAGAAGTCTTTCTTTCTCTTCCCCCCAAACTCCAGCAGAAATGAGTCTTTGTGAGACTTGTCACGCCGGCCAACCTCTTGGAGCAGGAAGCCTTGCAGGGTCCCAAAAACTCATTTCTGTCTGAGTTTGGGGGAGAGAAAGAAAAACTTGCATGCTTTCCTTGGAAAGAAGCAGTCCGGTGGCCAGGACAGGGACATGGGGCAAGTGGGATAAGTTATCTCATATTGTTTGCAAAGTGACATAAGACTTGTCTTCCCACAAGCCATGTGGGCAGCGCAGCCTTGTATTCCCACGCAGCCTGGATTAATTGTTTTGGAGGGTGCTTTGGGGGTGACATTTCTCTGAGGACCACCAAAATTTTCTCACAGACCACCAGTAATTCCTGGCCCACTGGTTGGCAACCACTGAATTAGTCAACAATAAGTACAATATTAATATTGTTCACTCTAGGATAGGGTTATAGTTAAGATCTTTGAAAATGTATCTTTGGGATTACATGTTTATAAAACTTACATTATGAATTCTGTAAATTTATATTCAAAAGACTAAACCTATTAATACAGGATCATTGAACATAATTTCACTTAATTGTGGTAAAACACATTTAAGGTTGATATACCACTGAGAAACATTTGTTTCTTAATCAAAATTCACATTTATTTCTATATTCCTCACATATTTAATGTGTTGAATTATTGAAGTTCTTTTTCTGGTGTCTAAATGAATTTAAAATATAATATGCCAAATGTCTCATTATTTCAAATGTATAAAATAAAATCATAATCCAGACATCCATATATCTATCTATCTATCTATCTATCTATCTATCTATCTATCTATCTATCTATCTATCTATCTATCTATCTTCTCTGTATCTATCATCTATCATGATTTTTATTAATTTAATAATCATCTATCTATCATGATTTTTAAATAATTAATAATAACATCTAACACCTGAAATTTAGTTACTTAATATGAAGGTTCTAATTTTGTATTTTAGATTTTGCCGTGCATCTTTCTTATTAAAATCAATGCAAAATATTTATTTTAAATGAAAAACAAATATTTACACAATGATTACTAAATAAACACAGAACAAACATGTATTTGAAATATATTTATATTACAGAAAACAACAACAAAGTTTTATGTAAATTAACATAAAAGAGAGTAACAATTCTATAAAAATAGTTTTCAAAATATTAAATATTTATAAAATATATTAGAAAGAATCTCATTAATTCCAAAATGTGCTATATGAGTGTGTGTGTGTGTGTGTTTGTGTGTGTCTGTAAAACACCATGTATCATATTACATAATGGAAAAGAGTATGAAAAATTCAAACTACTATAAACCCCATAATTGAAACAAGGGGAAAATATTATATCTACCATCCTAGAGACTTCAAGACCCAGTGGGCAGGGCAAAATGAGGAAATAAATATTCTAACGAATCAGGGTTAACACAAAATAGGTATAAACAAAAATATTGGAGTGGAACTTTATTTTAGCTAAATGTAAATAACGGTGTGTTCAGCCTAGGCCGTTTGCCTTGTATGATGTTTTATTAGTTTTATTTATTTGGATTCCAAACAAACTGAGTGTGTTTTCCAGGAACTACTTCTGCACATCTGTTGATGTATTTATTTTTTATTTATTTTTTATTTATTTATTTATTTATTTTTGTCAATTGCTTACAAGATAATAGGTATAAGTAAAAACATAGTTAAGCATACATGGATACATATAAGAAAAATAAAAAATAAAAGAAACAATAGGACAGAGACGGTAGGCACATTGGTGCGCTTATGCACATCCCCTACAGACCTCTTAGGAAAGGGGTGAGGTCAACAGTAGACAGTCTAAAGTTAAAGTTTTTGGGGTTTGGGGAAGAAACCACAGAGTCAGGTAGAGTATTCCAGACATTGACCACTCTGTTGCTGAAGTCTTATTTCCTGCAATCAAGTTTGGTGCGATTAACCTTGAGTTTGTATCTATTGTTTGCTCTTGTATTGTTATGGTTGAAGCTGAAGTATTCATTGACAGGTAGGACATTGCATCTATATTATATCCATATTATACATCTATATTATACATCTGTACTTTTCTATGTACATTTCATCTCAAGTTCCATTGTAATGAAAAAGCAAAGTAATGTAAAGGCAAACAGATGCTCTCTATGAATTTAATCTATTGTTGATAGAATTGATAGAGTTGATAGAATTTCTTGTTTTCTTGCTTTCATTTCACTTGCAATTTCCTTTGAATCTTTACTTAAAGAAAATATAAATTTATTTAACTGTGAAATCTTTTCTTTCTTTCTTTCTTTCTTTCTTTCTTTCTTTCTTTCTTTCTTTCTTTCTTTCTTTCTTTCTTTCTTTCTTCTCTCTCTCTCTCTCTCTCTCTCTCTCTCTCTCTCTCTCTCTCTCTCTCTCTCTCTCTCTCTCTCTCTCTCTCTCTTTCTTCTAGGGATGGACCTGAGCAAAATTCACCTCAAATTGGTCAATTTAGTGGCAACACTGCATTGGAATCTGTCTACAGCACCTCAAATCAGGTTCTAATAAAGTTCCACAGTGACTTTACAACAAGTGGCTTCTTTGTCCTTAGTTACCATGGTTAGTATCGCACACCTAAAAGATGTGTGTGCATGTGTATTCTTTTCTTTTTTAATAATAATAAACACATAGGACATATTCTTAGTTGGATTGGTAAATGATTTCTGCTTGGCAGTAATAATTACATAATAGTAAATATGAGGATTTATAAGAAGGCCAAGAGGTAGAATGAGAATCTAATAACAGAGCAGGGCAAAGTTTGTATCTAAAATGTCCCATTGGCATTGACAAAGACCCCATCAGTCAATTGCAAAAGACAGTGTCTTGGAATAGCTTACATTCTGTGATGATACCTTTAACACCATCAAACAACATGTTCCAATGCAAGGTCCTTGGGAAGGATTCAATAGGTAGATAAAAATGCCAAATCCAGTCTAAACGTCTGGTTGAATGTGGAATGAAGCATAATAATGATAGATTGATTTCTATAGCATACATCAAGAGTAGAAAGAAGCAAGTAGAGGAAGACAATACTTTGAAGGTCATCTAATTCCACCTTTTGTTCATTACAAAATATAGTATTTTTTATAAAAACACTGTGGCATTTAAATAAAAATGTATGATATAATATGGAATATAATATAGAGGACAAGTTTCATGTAGCCTTTAAGGAGCACATATTTGGTAGAAAGAGTTGTTCAGACTAATAGTTTTGAATCTAATTAACAGGACTGCTATCTATCTCATATTTGACCAATATATGTGAAATATACAACAAATCCTAGAATCCTAGGGAGTATGCATGCAATCTCCTGTGTTCTTAGAGCCATGTTCCCTCCTGGCTTGTGAAAGCTTCCCAGGAGATGACAGGTGGGTGGACTCTGGTGGTGATTAATATTTCCTTACAAGAGGAGGCAGTGCCCCAGCATTTTAAGGAGACTGTGGTCCACCCTCTTCCTAAGAAGCCATCGCTGGATTCCACCTGCTTGGATAATTTCTGATCTGTCTCCAGTCTTTCCTTTTGGGGGAAGGTTGTTGAGAAGGTAATTGATGAGGTTTCTTGATGAAACAGATTATCTCAACCCCTACCAGTCAGGATTCAGGCTTGGATTTGGACAGAAATGGCATTGGTCGCACTTTTGGATGATCTCTGACAGGAGTGAAATGGGGGTAGTGCATCCATCCTTGCTCTACTTGACCTCTCGGTGGCTTTCTATGCCATCGACCATGGTATTCTCATGGGGTGGCTTTGGGGGATGGGAGTGGGAGGCCTTATGCTGTCCTGGTTCACTTCATTCTTCTGCGGCCACTCTCAGTCAGTGTTGATAGGAGGGGAGAGATCAAGCTTGCTTTAAGTGGTTTGGCAGGGCTTGATACTCTCTCCGCTCTTGTTCAACATTTATATGAAGCCGCTGGGTGATATCATCCATCACCATGGACTGTGGTATCACCAATATGCTGATGATACTCAGCTGTATGGCTTGGCCCATGTTGAGTTGAGTGATGCCGTGTCCTTCCTCTCACAGTACCTGGAGGCTGTTGGGGGCTGGATGGGGAGCAACAGGTTAAAACTAAACTCTGGGTTTGGGGTTTGTTGGCTCAGGAAAATTCCCACCTTTAGTCTTGGGTGGGGTGACACTACCCCAAACAGTCCCTGTGTGTAATCTAGGGGTTTTCCTGGACTCATGACTCCTGCTCAAAGAGCAGGTGGCGGTTGTAGCCAAGAGGGCCTTTGTGTAACTGCAGGTTGTACAACAGTTATGTCCTTTTCTGGACTAACAGTCCCTACTCACAGTTACTCATGCCCTAGTCAATTCCTGTCTTGACCATTGCAACAAGGGGTTGCCCTTGAAGAGCATCCAGAAGCTCCAGTGCAAAATGCAACAGCTTGCATGGTTTGTGCAGACCCAGTGTGCATATGTATCACCTCTCCAATTTGCTTCCAGGTGCAATTCAAGGTGCTGATTGTCACCTTTAAAGCCCTTCATGGCTTGGGACCAAGTTATCTTAGGGACCGTCTCTTGCCGGTCACATCTACCTGACCCATCAGAGTGGAGAGGCAGGGAATGTTGTGGGTCCCATCCCCGAGGGAGATACACCTGGTGGGACCCAGAAGGACCTTCTCCATGGTGGCTCCCTCTCTCTGAAACATCATCCCCAGAGATAAGAACGGCCCCCATTCTAATACTCTTCCAGAAGGTGCTGAATACATGGTTCTGCCAGCGGGCCTGGGGAACCCAGAGCAGGATGGAGCCCATTAAATGGCTCATGTGATCTGCTGTTGCCAGGGCAGGGGGTTGAGAGTTGGGGAGTGATTTTGTTATATTGTACTATATTAATTTATTTGATTCTTTTTGTTAGTTTTTATTGTTTTAAATGTGGTTTTATATTCTGTAAACTGCCTTTAGTCGCCATTGGTGAATAGGCAGCAATATAAATTAATTAAATAAATAAATATCAATAAAGATGTTTGTCATAAATATTATGAAATATGTTCCCTAAAATCCCATAAAACCTTTTAAACCTAATAAGTGCTGTTAGATGCAAGCTAACTTCCCTGTAATTTCTTGTATCAATTTTTTTTTTACTTCCAATGTGCTTATTGTTATAATATAAACTGGAACAGTGTACTAATTGAAACATTTCTGCTACTTTCATAGCATATCAACTTCGAGTGTGTCAGCCTCCACAGAGTATACCAAATGCTGAAGTTCTGACTGAGGATGATGAATTTGAAATAGGTAAAGTTAACATTTATATAGACAACATCTATTTAATTCCAAAAAAAGTATCATATTTAACATGCATGTCCATATCTTTGGCAGTTCCTATATTTAGGTTTTCTATGATATATGCAAATAAAAGACATATCTATATATAGATATATCTAAGTGAGGAACATAGGAACTTCTGTAATTACATGGATTCATTTTTTTGTAAAGTTGTAAATATTAAAATACCTAGATTAGATTAGATTAGATTAGATTAGATTAGATTAGATTAGATTAGATTAGATTAGATTAGATTAGATGGATGGATGGATGGATAGGTGGGTGGGTGGGTGGAGGGAGGGAGGGAGGGAGGGAGGGTCATATTTTCTTTCCCAAAATAAAGTACTTAACACTTAAATTGGCTTGTGGAAAAAAACTGTATTTTCTATTTTTAAATTGCTCATACACCTTGAAGTAATTTCAGTTACTCAAGGCTGATTTTATCAGTAATAAAACTGCAAGAAGACATCCTATTATGAAATTCCCCAGACACTCCAGGTATATCCAAAGAGCCCTTTTCTATTTTTACCATAGCCATACTTTATATTCTATGGTCCCTCTGAGATACTTCAGTTTACTGCTCTTGTAAAACCTTTTGCACTCTGTGGCGTTCTTCATCCGACCAATAGGGTTTGGCTGTGATCCTAAACAGCAAAATGTGCAGATAGAGGAGACAGACATGTACAGCCAGAGGCAATTTGATGTCCATTACCTGGCTAAATGCATCTTCCTTAAAACCAGTTTTCTTGTTGTATCAGATGTTCACTTGCTGTAAAGGCTTTAAGAAATCATTCTGCTGCTTATGTGTACAGCTATTTCAGATTGTGTTCTCCCTAAAGATGTTGACGCTAAAGTAGGCTTCACAGGGAAACATTCACCCGTGGCCAAATAAATATTGCTAAATACTGCTAAGTACCACAGCTCTGCAAAAAATTAAAACAAGATTTTTATTAAATGATAGGTGAAACATCCTCCCTAGAAGCCAGGGGTGGGATCCGACCGGTGTAACTACCAGTTCGGTGATTTTACATTTTTGCTCTGAAGAGCAGCAAACAGAGAGCACACATAGAACCAGTTCTATTTCTGCTGCTCTTTTGGCCCACCCACCTGCTTTGAATGACACAGCTGCGGTTGAAAAAGCAGGAAAAAGGTGTCTTTTCAACTGTTGCACACCCGCGCGCAGTGCTGCTCAGCTGTTCTGGCAGCTAGCTGATGATGATATACACATGCGCGCAGCAAAACGTAAAATCACCGAACCGGTAGTTACACCAGTCGGATCCCACCCCTGATATGTGGTTACGAAGAGTCAACACCAACTTGATGACTTTTATAGATATATAATTTCTGAAATTAGTGCTAGAAATAAGAAAACTAGATGCTTTTTTTAAATTACTGAAATAACTGCAACATATAAAGCTTTTCAACTCCACAAATTCACAATCATGCAAATGTGTGAGTCACACTAATAGCATAGCTAAAATGAAATGACAAATTAGGCTTATTTGCCACATCATTTCCTCTGTCTAATGGAACCTATTTGTGCTAGTGGTCATTTTCACATTATATATGGTGGCAAACATGCTTCGTTAATCAATGCTATTGTCAACACTGAAAGTCCTCATTAATTGCTCTTTAACTACAATCTTTTCTCTTTTCCTCCTTTTTTTATTACACAGGGGACATAATAAGGTACCAATGTCTACCAGGTTTTACATTAGTTGGTAATGAGATTCTGACATGTCGCCTAGGAGAGAGATTGCAGATGGATGGCATACCACCTTCTTGCCAAGGTTTTAAATTCTTTTTAAAAAAAACCTTTTAGTATATATTTGCTTACTTTGATGTCTTGCATGCAATATTTAGTTAGCATCGATAAACACCAGAAGAGAGTCATATACAGTATATAATGGGAATACTGACTAAGTTTGATTTGAAGTTGAGGAATATCTAGAGGGTAAATGTGAACCCTTCCTGAAAGGATTTATTCAAAAGTGTTTTTTGTGCATTGTCTTATTTCCTTTCCTTTTTCTTACCATATGCTATGGGTAAGAGAACAAGAGTGGTATTGCAGCAATGATCTTCTCAATCATAATATATGGCTATTAAAACCGGACCATCAGAAACAGTGAATGATGAAAATCTGGTGCCTCAAAACTGTGCTTCTGGAGATAATTGTTGAACATCAAAAAGAGCAAATCATTAAATACCAGACACAGTAAAATCAATTTGTTCACTGGAGCGCTAATAATAAAGATAAAGCTTAAATATTTTGGACATATACTGTAGAAGAAGAGGCTTTTAAGGAGTTGTTTGGAAAATTTAAAGGCAATCAAGAAAGAAGCTGACAAAAGATGAGATGGCTGGCTATAATTACTGATGTCAAAGCACAAACTTACAAGACTTCAAAGTAGCTGACAGACAATCCTGGGGAATAATTGTCCATTAAATCATGAAGAGTCAGAAGTGACTAAACAATTGAATGACCAAGTGGCTAAGATGTTAGACTAGGATTAGAAAGATCCACAGTTGAAATTAATATGTAGACATGAATGTTTACTGAATGACTTTGGGACAGTCCTTACTTTTCAGCCAAACTTATTTCTCATAGTTGTGGTGGATTCAAATTGGAGGAGGGAGTAACCAACTTGACTTCCAGGATGAAAATCTGGCTGTAAGTCTAACAAATATAAATAATGAATATCCACAAATAGAAGAACTAGGTTTAAAGAAAAATAGCACAGTTAAGCAAACTAACAGCAAATGGAATTCAGATTAAAATGTTCTAGACTGGCAACAGCTCTCCTATAGTTTTTATGGTACAAATAATATAGTCATTTTTTCTTTTCACAGCACTCCATGAAATTCTATTTCTTTGGTAATTCATACCTTTGATAACTTGTTTATTTCAAATGCCACTTGACTCATTTAAATCAAAGCAATAACCAGCCATTTGTGGGAGGGGGAGATATTTTCCAAAACTTGAGAGAATTTGTATTTTTTCTTTGAAAAATATAAGCAATGCATAAGTTCAATAAATGAACAAATGACTGAATGAATGAATGATCCACCAAAGGATTATAATTACTCATGTTCTATCATCTTATCCCATCCCAACCCAGCTATGAGTAGAAAAACAAGGATCTTGAAAGTTTTCATTAAAAAAAAATATATCAATGGTTATTTTTCAGAAAAAGCAACTTGAAACTCAAATGAGAAGCTGTGTCATGGTTAGGGTCAGAAGTAAGGTATCTATGAACAGATCAGAAATTTCCTAAGCATTCATTTTCTGACATCTTTTTATTAACGGTATTTTATTAAATACAACAGTTGCAGAGAAATTTTCATTTTTTTATTAAATGATAATGTTACAATACACTTAGTCTATTGTCACTCAATACCTAAGGTTCTTGAACTCGTAGGTATTCATCATTCTTAATACTTTTAATTGAAACTGCTGAAACCTGGAAATTACTTCTCCTTTTATTAGAAATATTGACCTTTCGAACATATTGATAAAATCTACATCTAGAAACTTAATTAAAGATAAGTCATAATCAGTGTCTAAATTCCTAATAAAGGCATAGATGTTATTTTGTTCTCATTTTAGTCTTCCATCCACAAGTACATGTAGAGAGGTTAAAAAATATTCAAGAAAGGGTTGTTGTTCCTGGCTTGCCTAAAGCAATCAAATCACTCTGAAGAGACAACATAATTTTATTTGCATGCAATCAGTAAATGGTGTATCCTGGATTACCAGCAAAGCTGGGTAGCCCTCGTGAAAAGCAGAAGCAGAGTAGACCTTTGGTGTACTATATTGCACACACAAGGAAAAGGAAAAAGCAGACAGATTGGAGTTTACAGTTCACGGTGGAATCTTTAAGATATACCCATCAATGTTACTTTCATAGTTATACCCTCATACTAGACCAAGCCTAGTATGTTTGACATGTATATTGGTGAATAGGAACAATTGCTTCACTGATCCTTCTACCATTGTTGTCATTCAAGATCAATTCAGCTCGTTGTGAATGTTGCCTTAGAAGGATAATTTAAGCAATTCCTGTCTGGGGGGGGGGGGGTGAGCAGCTCATAGGTTTCATCATCAGTTTACATGGGTTTGGGTGGTACCTTTTACCATTGTGGGATACCTTTTACCATTGGTCACAACTATATGTATCAGCATCAGAAAAATATACTGTGTAACAATAATGGACTTCAATTATGCAGTCTTGACCATCAATTTGACTTTTTAAAATCTTTATTCCATCCTTAGCCCAGAAACTGCTGGCCCCATCATCTTTCTCTATTGAAGAGCAAAAGCATTATAGAATATAAAAAATAATTCCTTAAAGAAAAAGAGAGAGAGTCAAGTATTATTTAATTTAATTTCACCAAACATATGGTGTTAATAGATTTTCAATCTAGAGTTGACATAGTATTTTTTTCTTCACTTATCATATTGGTGATAGTAGAAAACAGGTGATAGTCTGTATTAGGACTAACATTCAATTAAGCATTAAAGGGAAATATAGCTCAAATTGTCAAATGTTTAATTATAAAAAAACTGTTGAGTTGTGAATAGCTTTGCTATTAAATGCCTAGGCATTTAATGAAAAAATATGCACATTCTCTTAACTTCTTTTGTTTAAAAAATACCCATCATCTAAGAATTGATTATTAATCCATTTATTTAGCAAGGTTTAATTATTATATTCTCAAAGGATAAAAATAATCTGTGCCTCTGAAATATTTGAATAGCACATCATTTCACAAAGCAACACATAACTTCTGGGGCAGAGAATCCTTTTCTTTTCCTCCAAATTATGCAGGCATGTCTAAAAAAAGAGAAAAGAAAACAATACCAGAGAAAAGAAATAAAAGCCTGTTGGTCAGACAGACTTGGAAGTAGCTCCATTTATTTTCAGACACAAAGCATACTAAGCATATGCTAAGTAGAGAGACAAAAAGAGCAAGCAAGCCACTCAGTTGATCAATGATCAACTTGCTTGCTCGGCTGGAAGGAAATTCTATTAAATTTATGGAAGCTTAGTTAAGTATCGTGGTGCCTGCCTTCTGGAATTAGTTTTCCTCTGAGATCCAAATGGCGCTCACCTTGACAATGTTCTGGAGGATAATAAAGCCCTGTTTGTCCAAGGATATGCTATCAAGTTTACCATTTTCTATTTAGACTGTTCATTTAAAAAAAAAATCTAGTTCTTACACTGTGAACTGCTCAGAATCAGTCTAGAACCAGGAGCACCTACATATCTTGAAATTTACAGCATATGGGTTAGAGAGATACTAGGGACAGATAAAACACACACCTGTTTTAATGATTAAACAAGAGTTAATTTTGTATTTTTCTGAATGTCCTGAAATATCTCTCTCTTTGCACAGTTCCAATAATTTTGTGCCTTACAAGCGCTAAAAATTTCAGCCTAGTGTCGCCACAGAGCAACCTTCTTGGAGGATGAAAAAAGAGGAGAAGAAGAAGGATATATATTTGGTATATACTACATTTATAGTCTATACCAAATCCTTTATGTAGTTAACCTATCCATATTGAAAACCCTTTCTTTTTCAAATCTTTAAGAGATTGAAAGATGGCTAGCACTGATGTTACCTAGTTTGGGTAATGAAACATCTGCAAGAAAACAACCAAGTTCCAAGACCACTAAGGACCCCTCATTGAAAGATGTAATTTTACTTAACCATGCAATTTTTTTTTCTCATTTCAAGAGATACATAATCTGTCAAGTACAGACTCAAAAAGTGACTAAGGCCAGGAACCATTTTATCAGGGGAGGGAAATGCAAGAACTAAGGCAGGACTCAAACTCACAGCCCACGGGCCAGGTGCATCACATGCTGGCCCCGCCCCCATCCAGTTTAGCGAAGGGGAAAAAAGTCCCAGTACATCATGTGATGCCGCCATGATGCCGTGAGTTTGAAACCCTTGAACTAAGGAGTAAAAGGGTCCCTTAAGTCTGACAAGGTTTAAGACACCAAAATTTACACAAAGGATGTTGATAGTCAATAAATGCTGCATCCCTGTTCTATTTGAAGTGACAATTATTTGGAAGAGTTTAGCTTCTGTTTATTTGATACATAATGAGATATACTTGGATCATGGCATCATTTCAGAAAAGAATATCTAAAATATACAAATGTGAACATATAAAATACAAGAATCTGAACACGTTTTTTCTCTACTTTTTTCAGAGATTTATCCATGTTTTGATTATTTGAGATGAAGTGTTTGATGTCCAAGTTTAAAATACCCCACATATCCTATATCTTTCCAGTTATTGTATTGTTTACAGCTCAATTCCTTTCCCCTTTTCTCTTTTCTCTGTCTCTCTTGCAGTATTGTGTCCTGCAAATGAATTGCGCCTTGATTCAACTGGAGTAATCCTAAGCCCAGGCTACCCAGATAGTTATCCAAACCTTCAAATGTGTGCTTGGACCATTACAATAGAAAAGGGTTATAATATAAGCATTTACTTTGAATTCTTCCAGACTGAAAAAGAATTTGATATACTTGAGGTGTTTGATGGTAACTAAATGATATTCAACTTTGAATGTATAATAGTTGCTTTATTAAGTAATATTACATTATGCATTATATCAGGAATAACATAGTGTGACTGTTACATGCAATTAATGAACATTTTCACTTATGCTATGAACAGATGGCTGCAATATATTGCATTATTCAAATGATTATATATCCCAGAATAATGTTTAACATTTCTCTAATTTTGGCCTTTCTTTTTTCCTCATATGTGTTCCCTGGGATCAAGGACCAAACAGTCACAGCCCATTGCTAATCTCCTTAAGTGGAGATTATACTTCCTCTCTCAATATAACAAGCACTGGCCATGAAGTATTTCTCCGATGGTCAGCAGACCATGGTACCAACAAAAAGGGTTTTAGGATGAGATATATAGGTAAGTCACGCCTTTCCCTTTTTTTCATTCTACTTCAAAAGAATCAATAAGGGGAACAACTAGCAGATTGGTATGGAAGAGAAATGGAAGCTGGACAAAGTCTATATAGAGAAGGGGGAAATAAGATATGGAAGATGTTATTTTAAAATCCAATGAAGTGAAAGTTCAGTTCTATTGTCAATATAATATCTAATCCGAAGATATGATGGTTTTATTTCTTTCTTTTTTCTTTCTTCTTTCTTTCTTTCTTTCTTTCTTTCTTTCTTTCTTTCTTTCTTT